CCGCCACCACCGTTGCCGCTGCCACCGACACCGTCGATCGAAAAGAGGCCCGTGTTGTACGCGCCCGCGCACACGCTTTACCTCGCATGCGTATTGAACGCGGGAGTCCGGTGTCTCTCTTTCTGCCTTCACTCCGCAGCGTAACGTGCTGCTTCCTCTTCGTTATTTGCCGCTACTGCCGGTTGCGCTTGTCGTAGGAGTCTGTTACTGTCCCTCTTCTCCCTCTCACTTTCTTCTAACAAGATTAATACAGTCGATTTTTCCTTGCGATTTTTTTATGCTCATGATTATAGTTTATTCTAACGGTTTCTTTTTTATTCAATTTTGAATTCTATTTGCAATGCGTTCACAACAATTGTAATATTTCTCTAAACTTGTCCGTTGTGAATCGTTCAAACAAATTTGTATTAAAATTATTATATTATAACATTATGAAGATTTATCCTTATTCTTTTATTACTATAACAAATCATTTTAAAACAGACACTTGACAATGTTTGTTTTAAAATGATAAAGTATGCGATTTTTCTCTTCTTACAATCTCTTTGTTCTTGAATCACGTAATCACTTCTTGCGAGTCTGAAACGAACGACAGGCTTGTGTCGAAGGGTCGGATAATGCGATGAGGTAGGTGAAGTCAGGTGAAAAGGTGAAGCTTAGATTGATTTTGAATGTGCGTAAAGTCGGAATGTTCGTTCGAAGCCAAGTGCACCATCAACAGCGATTTATTTTGAAGAAAAATGGAGTATTTTCTCGTATTCAGACCTTCCAATCCGCCTGTTGCCTTTTGTGTAGCGCGTAACAACTAGCAACTTGCAGGTATTTATTTAACTGGCTTCATACAATTAAAATTGTACAGAAAAAGAAATATCCTAATTGGATCCAAAGACGAGACGAGACGGCAAATCATTAAATTTGTGTTTTTAATTAGAAACACGACACATGTAATCCCCAGATGCACGTAGAATAATCTTTCATTTGCAAAGTGCAACAAGTGAGTTCAGCTTTGTGCTTACGAGTTTCCATACTAGCTTGCGAAACATTCCATTTTTATCTATTTTTTTTCTTCACGTTACACATGGCAATCTTTGCCTACGTTTTTCATTTACCTCTTTATCCTTTCATATTTCGCCCTATAGTCGCGTCAGATACGAAAGTCAGTCTAAAACAGAGATAGTTTTCTAAAGAAAGGAACGTGTGTCGGAGGAAAGCCGTCGAATGAAGATGAAAGGGAACTGAACCTTCGTTAATTTTGTCCCTCTTTCTCGTCACCGGGAACTGCGATTTATCTGATCTTCGCCAGGTCTGCCCGCTAATTCTCTTTGTTACTATTCTTTTCATATCCCATCAAATTTTCTCCACGCGTAATTTTAATTTTAAGCAAATAAGCAAGATGTGCGCGTCTTCAAACATGCATTCACTGCAGTATACCATTGATTTCCCTCTAGTCTAAATTTTTAGAAGAGTTAAAATATGAATTTACATTTTCATACATGTACGTGGGAAATTTTGCGAACTACTACGCGCTGTGTAGATGTTTCTGAAAAACATATACAAGTTCATAAAATATTTAAAGATTTAAAGAAGAGAGAGAATGTGAGAGTATGTGCGTTCCTAGAGATTTGTGTTGATTTTAAATATGGATATATAGATGTAGAAGACATATGGCAAGGAAAGAATAATTTTTTTGGCTAGAAAGAAGAAATGTAATGAAAAGAACGAAAAGGAAAATAGTTAAAAATTGCATTCAAGGAGAAGCCTCAAATATAACTATTTTTCTCTTTCTCCCCTGGCACATAATTTTTTCCACTCTTAATGCGTTCTCCTCTTTATTCGTTAATCCTTGCTCTCTCTTCTTCTCTTTTAAGATAACTCTTCTACAACGTCGCCCGGAATTCCTGCGTACGGCAAGAAATTCGTGAAAAAAAGAGGTACGATGGAATTGCTATGCAAAGAGGACGGAATTTGTTACCGCCAAGGAATGTGCATATTTTCATTGAGTTTGTCTTAGTTTAAATATTGAATCGATTTTAGGGAAATATTCGATATTATGTTAAATAACAAATAACAATAGAACAAATTGTATAAATAAACAAGACAATTAAAATACAGATGTAATAACAGGGAATGTAAACGAATTATCATTGAAATTGATTTTAACACAATTATATCACGAACAGTGTATTTGTATCGTATACAAAATACAATATGTTGATTTAGAAAATCATGTTTTCGCATAAATATTGAATTAAATGAAAAACTAGATTACGTCAATTATATTTTGGAGATATAAGCTGTGTTTTCATATACTCTCATTGCCAATATTGAAAATCTACAGTAACGTAAACTAAGGTAAATGTATCAGTTAGTGGATAGTTAATGGATACGATCCAATTTATTTGATAAAGTGATAAAAAATTTTAAATATTAAGCTTTTAATGATTCGTAAATAAATTTATTATTAAATTTTTATAAACAACGAATTTATTTAGAGTCGCACATATCATTAAAAGCTTAATATTTAAAACTTTTTATCACTTTATCCAACAATAGGGTCATGTCCACTAACTGGTACATTAACCTTATAGATTTTCAGAACTGACTTTTTTCAGTAGTGCATGTATATCGAGTGCCTACATTTCCGAAATATAACCTACGTAATCTATATCCTATTTTGTTATGTAATTATCACGCGTATATAATACATATGTATATGAATTGATACACAATATTGTGTAAAACAATTTCTTTACAATGCTAAAAGTGCTCTGACAAGAAATGATGCCCCATCGAATTCTTGGCAGCGCCTTATATCTGCCGGAAGCGGACGATGAGGACCGCTGAGGTTGAAGAACGAAATTGAACTTCCTACGTGCAAGGCAGTACGCAGAACGACCCAGCATTTTGTCACGGATGTTTCACATTCATTTACAGATATGCTCACTTTGCATTCCGAATATTAGATTTTGTCTGCCTCAAAAAGAGAGAGAGAGAGAGAACTGTTATTTTATTCTCTATTATTTAAATTCTGTTTGATTAATTTATTTAAATATATATGATAAATAAACAGTAATAATAAAAAATATACACGCAAAGCATTAAAGAAAGTTTCGAAATTTTTTATGCGTATAATCGCATAAAATAATATTTACTATTTAACGTACAAATAATGCACATATGGAAAAATTCGATCCCCTTACACTGGATTACACAAACAGATTTTTCGAATTAATCACAAAATAGATATTCTCAAAGCATTTCCTGTCTGTTTGTGAACAGTCATAGACTACAACAGTTATTTGAATTCCGGAGATGAGTACGAATATTCGGTATGCGGGCAAAACGTCTTAGATTCAATTTTTCGCAAATGGATTCTTCGTGGTAGAGTGTAGAGAGAATCTTTCTATATAATATGGCATGAAAATTTGATGCAAAAGAAATTGGATTTAAGCCGTAGTGCGCAGCACCAAACACATTCGTATATACGATATATTGCCCAAAGGAAAACGCAATGTGTTTGCTACTCCGCCGGTAAACGATATTAACAAACGATGGTACGCGGTCCAATTTTTTACGTCTCGACGATTTACGAATTACAGTCAAGTCGTGCGAATCAATCCGCGCGCGGTACGTGGGGAGCAGAGAGAAAGACACTTCTATTAATACCATAGGGATGAAGAAATTTTTTAACAATTTTTTTCACCGAAATTACAACAACTCTCAATACCATGTCGCTAATGGATTAGTGAAGGCTCGCACGGAGTACCAAGCCAAGTACGCTTCAATTTGCGAAACTCCGCAGTTAATGGACTCGCGCCATAGCGCGAGCTATTAAATTCCGTCACATGTATGCGGAAACGATATACAGAGAGAGAGAGAGAGATTTTGTTTACTGCGCGGATTAGCGCAGGTTAGTAATCGGACTTTATTCGCGCATTTAATATCGGCATTGCATCGCGAGCGTGTTACTACCGCTTCGTGTCGTCCACGCACACTTATGTCGTCGACGCACTCATCCGATGACATTATTATCGAAAAGCGTTTTACCACGGCAGAGCACGTTCGCTCGCTTTTCGCGGATAAATGTTACGTGTGGCAGCTACACTACACTACCTGCGAGACCGAGGGAAAGCGCAGTACGCGAGAGAGCTCTCTCCATTCCACCGTTAAGCGATAATAATAG